GAGAAGGAGAAACTCGATTATTTTTGTAGTCAGGAGCTACTGCTCTGCGAACACGCTTCGCTTAATAATGATCGGTCCTAGTGACCGGTTAGTGAAGAAAAGTTCGACAAAACGTAAGAGAAATTGATAAATATTGCGAATAAATTATACGCGTATTTCTTTTAAGCGAAGACAAGTAGAAATTGACAGGAATAGTTTTAACACCTTGTATATAATGGCGTGAAAAAGGAAACGAGTAAGTAGGTATACCTCGGACTCAGACTGTTTGTATCGCAATTTTCACACGATTGCCCATAGCGCTTGCAACAAACGTTAACACCTTTCCAAGCACAGTGGGCATCTAAGAAAATATCACACAGAGGATTGTGTTCTGCAACGCTTGCCTTGCATAGATTTATCTTCCGATGAAAAAATTCGTATGGCGCGATAAAATAACAATATAATAATCGCATTGTGATGCCAGCGATTGAAAAACGACTGCCGCGGCATAATGGCAGAATAATCAGCGGGTACCAGCTACATTACGATGTCGTATCTTTATTGAAACAAGTATGAGAAGAGCTTCGGACCGTCGAAGCTTAACTATCGTGAATTACCAGCATGAAATAATTTTAATTTCATAATAAGAAAATGAGATTTCGATTTATTTAATTCTTCGTCGAATAAAATGCATTCCGAACTATTCTATCGACTAAAAATTACGCTTGAAGCGTATCGTGATAACTAGAGAACGTATCTGATGATACTGAAATGAAAGCTTTCGATGAAAGCTATCCCGAACCATTACAGATAATAAATAGAAGAGAAAGTTTCTCAAAGGGTAACAGGAAAGTTGTATGAAAGACAAGTATGAGACAATAAGATTATAATTCGCTAAAAGTAACTTCTGTTTCAAAATTGTATAACACCTTTCGATCAAAATCTTCTTTTTCTCTTAACTCTAATTACGAATTCCAGTAGAGTTCGAACGCCAAATTTCTCATGGTTTACACGGTCGTATTTCTTTCTTTTTGGAAATGTTTATTTCAAGACAAAAACTAGGATCGTGACTCGTTCTGCGAGATCGATGTGCCAACGAACGATGAGTCAGAAACGTTCGATCGGATCGGCCAAGAAATCGTGTTACTATGCCTCATGGTCGACGGGAACGTGTTCCTCGATCGAAAGAAGAGATCACGAAAAGATGTTGTCGTGCAGCTGGATATTAAGTTGCGAGACGTACGGCCTTCCCAATGGAAATGACGCATAATTTCCTGCCCGCTTGAAAAACCATGCAGCAACTGTCGTACTTAAGTAGTACTTTAGTGGCTTAGTACTTCGTGTGCTTCAAGTACTTTAATACTTCTAGTGCTGTTAGTACTTCTGGTACTGTTAGTACTTCCAGTACTTTAGTACTTTGGTACTTATTGCTTTAGTACTTTAGTACTGTATGTTAACCGTCGATAATGGATCGAGGCTGAGCGATCCGCCGCCAAGCGTTTCGTAATTGGTATTAATTAGCAGCTAACAGTTGTCATCCTCTTCGAATTACAGATTTCTTCCTCCAAGTAGCGCACCTACGAACGACTCGTGAATGGGAATGATACGTTCCGAAAGAACGAAAGAGTACTTTGTTCGAAGATTTATCTCGACGGATGAAGAAAATCTGTGTAACGAATTTGATATTTAGATCGTCGTAGTTCCCATTTTTATCGAATGCTAATTCTCGTGATATCCTAAACTATCGTTTCCATCCTTCGTCCTTCTATCACACCTACGATTAATTTGACGTACAGCTTTATTTCTAAAACACGTTTTACTAATATTTTTGTGCGTTACAGTATCGCGTGCTCAGAAGCAACAGCAAGAAGACCCTTGTCAAACAAAATCCAGAGTCGTCGGCGACATAGAATACTGTGATCGCTACTGGGAGTGCGTCAATGGTCGCCCAGAATTATTCGACTGTCCAAACGGCCTCGTATTCGCTGGAAAGCACCGTGGCGTGACCGAGGGTTGCGATTACCCCTGGAGAGCGAATTATTGCGACGGAAAACGTCAGGCGAATCCACCGATCCCGGCTGATCACTGTGACTGGCTCTACGGTATTTTCGGCCACGAGACATCTTGCACTCGTTACTGGACTTGCTGGAATGGCACGGCCACGGAACAGCTGTGCATCGGTGGACTTTTGTACAACGAGAGGGCCAGATCCTGCGATTGGCCGGAGAACGTCGAAGGATGTCAGAAACATCGTGAGTAGATGGAAGGTTTTCGCTGCTGGTCGAAAAATCTCCGGCAAATTATTCCATTTTATTACACCACGTCTTCCCCTCTATCTTTGCTTCTTTGACATCCGTTCCCTCTTTCGCAAAACGCGTAACATTTTGCCAGAGGCGACGTTCGCGATCATTCTCACTTTCGAAAGCGACCATGTAAGAGTCTACGCGCGTGTGGGTATGCGGCGCCCGTCGTTCTTTTTCTCTCTTCGCCTCGTGTAGTCTACGTTCGATGTCAGTGGCCTCCGCCGGGAAAAAAAGGTGAGTCGTTAATTAGCATTCGAAGCGAGCTCTCGTCGCACCTTCGTCTGCCCCACGCGTCGTATCGTCTCGTCTCGACGGTAACCGAGGAGCCTGACAAGTTGACGAACAAGAGGTCTCATTCATCGCGGCGAACTTGTAAAAGTACCGATCGCGGCCAAAACTGCTTGCAATATGAATTTACAGATTTACTTCATCCTTCATCCTTATCGATCCTACGTTGCAGACGATAGCTATTAAGACACCCACTCGTTCGTTCAAAGAAATTTTTGCTTCTATGGGTATTTTACGTTGCGAAACGCGCGCGATACGAACGAAGCAACAGATTTCCCATAAAATATCGCGATTAAAGAATGTTTACTACGTATCGTCGGATGTCCTAATACCTCTAGTCGACGCTGTACAACCACGCTCCTGTGTATAGAAACTACAGAATATTAATATTACAAAATATTAATCGAAAATGTTCGAACGACGCACGTACATGTTTCATAAAATTACATAACCAAACGAATTGGAGATCGTCGCCCGCTAAAATTCCGAAATCCTCGGTTTCTAAGTACATAGCTTTTCCACGGCATTCCAAGTTTAAATTACTCTGCTAGATGCTAGAGTATCAAGATACTAACGCTTATCCGTGTTTCCTAACGACCTCGTCTTTTACACTGGCATATTCTATAACGCGTAATCGAATCTCCAACAGCTCTGTGCAACGACGACGCGAACGGAAACGTTCCGCTGGGCAAATCCTGCAACCGTTATTGGCAATGTCAAGGAGGATATCCACGGCTACAGAGATGTCCGGCCATGCTGGTGTTCGATCGAAGGTCGCTCAGGTGCGTGGTTCCACCCACCGAAGACTGCGACGTACCCACGACACCACCCAACCTCGAGGGCGACCTCCCTGAAGGACGAAACGAACAAGAACCGGAGGAGGAAAACCTTCCACCGGGTGTTCCGCCATTGCCAGCCGGCGCACTGCCGATTCCACTTCGAGCTCGCCCCAGAAATTAAATTGTTCGACGCTTTTCGATAAATCGTAAGATCTTGGACTGCGTCTATGCGCGTGGAACGTGTAACGTAGGACGGTTTCAGGTTTCGTCTAAAACGAGCCGATTTTTGCAAATTACCGTACAAAGGAAAAATCATGGAGAATCGTTGAGCGATCGGTATCGTTTGGTTCGATATTATTTTACGTACTTCGCGTATTATTTCGTCAACGTCGTGTACTTAGGCGATCTACGGTTTAGACGATAGAGTAAGAGGATCGATTGCTCAAAGCTTGAAATGGACAAGACTGTTTAATCGCTTTATCGTTCGATTTGTCTTCTATCTGCCTCGTATTTACAACGCGTTCTATTATTTATTCTCTAGGAAACCAGATCTCTTTTAATATCGCGCCTGTCGAAATTGATTACTTCGGGCTAGATCGCTGGATCGTAGTTTCTTTCGTAAACATGTCGATAACACCGAGACAAAAAGGAGAAGCTTAAATGTTCAAGGATGATAGAATTGTAACAAGAGATCGTTTGTGAGCAAATATTCGTTCCCGATTGAAAACGTAGCTCGTAAAATATAGCCTGTAGAATAACGTGTCTTCGTGAAAAGAAAGACAAAGTACTAAATCCTACTGCAAAGCAATTTCAAAACTAGCGATTAATATCTTTAGGTCCCTCGTCTTCTCGTTGGTTTTGTTTCATATACCTTGATCGTTTAGATCAATTTTAGATCATGAAATTCAGCCCACTAATCGCTCATTTCATCGTTCCTACGTCATACAAATATTCGTACGCGCTAAACACGTTGCAGTTACGCGAAATCGTGTTCCAACCGAGTTCCAGGCGACTCAGGAACCTTTACAAAATGTTCATACGTTACGCGTTACGCGCGTGAGAATGCAGTCCAAGAGCGTCGATCGGACGACAATCGTCCGCGAGAAGTGCGATCGAGAATTCATTCCAAAGTTTCGAAACGTACAGAAATCTAGATTGCAAGCCAGGAAACGTGAATTTACCGATATTGTGATCGGTATCGCGGCACTCGAATCCAGAAGAAATGGCGCGGGGTCGCAAGCGGCGTTGTTGAACTCAGTTCTTTATGTATATTCACCGCTTCGTTAGAAAGTATGTAACTACTTCTGATTAGAAGTGCTAGATATTCCTCTTTATATCTCATTCTTCTTCTTTCGTTTCTCTAATTATGGTCGTTTCGTCGACGACTATTTTGCGCACATACGTCTAAGTTAAAAAGGATATAGGTAAATCGTATGGAACACATCTTGATTGTACACCCCCTGATTATTGTTGTTAAGCAACTATCACCACACTGTTCTCTGTCATTTTTACAGTCAAAGTGTAAATATTCTCTTTTATCCATTCTCACCCCCCCTCTCCCTTCTCGCCTTAATCGTAAGCATCTATTAAAACGTCCACAATTGTACGGATATAGACTCGTTGAAATAAAGTGTACGTTGTATATTTTTTGTACGCATGTCCACATTTTATTCCAATGTTCAGTGTACACGTCGTTGTCCCTGTCGTTTTGCAGTTGTTTTCCCTTTAAAACACATTTTTCTAACTAAAGGTAATTAGAAATATCGATACATCTATCTTTGCTTTTTATAATTATTATACATCTGTGAAATTGTACAGATCTATCGATATCGTCTACTTTGTACCGATAATGCAATACTTTGCGTTATAGTTTCGCTAATTTTACTGTTTCGTAACGTTTTCGGTGGGCGATTAGATTATTTTTTATCAAGTGGAATATTTTGCTTCGAATAAACGGCGAAGGCTGCAGATTTCGAGGTTCTAAAACGGTTGATAGACTCTTGCGAATTCGAATAGCGATGCTGACATCCCTGTGTAATTTAAACGGTATTGGCGCTGAAACAAACCGACGAATTACTTATAATTCTTGGTAAATTATATTTTACATAATTTTCATTCTCACTTTCATCGAAAATATGAAAATAAAAGTTAACGAAACGATGAAATCTCTAACGTACCAATGAGGCAGTTCGTCAGGATCCAAACAGCTCAGACTCACGGAATCGAAGAGTTTTCCATCGCCGCACGTAAGCAAACGTGGATTACCATCGACACAGGTGATCAATCTGCCACAGTCCCCAGGTACAGGGAATCTGAGAAACAAATATTCTCTATAAGTAGGATTACAAATATTTAACCGCATTTCTTCCTTGCTTTTTATCTCGCTGCTGTACCATTAAAAGAAAGAGAAACGACGAAAATTGGGTTTCTTAACATGACGATAACGCCGAATAACCGTAAAACACGTGTCGCCTCTCAACGGGCGTTCCTTCGAGTTATCCTCTCGAAAGCATAGGGAGACCGGTTTTTAATTTCTGCGTCGGACAAAACAGCGGTCGCTGGTTATTTAAGGACATCGGCTTCTTTCGCTTTCAAACGAACGATTCAGCCTGCAGTATTTGTAATTTATTTAATCGATAAATTCTCCTTCGACGGTGCAGTTTAAAGAAACCTCCGAAAACTTTTCGTTATTTCTATTAATATCTTTTTATTCCGTGTAAAATCAAACATTTATTTACCTTTAAATACTTGTCGGTATTTTAGTCTCCTGTTAATCACGACCCGTTATCAAAATAAATAACGAATTACAGAAACGAAAAGTGGAAAAGCATCTCTACGACAGACGATAGACCCCAACAAAAAAGTCTGCATTTTGCGTACGAACTTCGATGATCAGATTCGCATAAATGCACATCGTGCATTTACAATCCAGCCATTGTTCGTCGCTCGTCGAACGCCCATGTATATCAATCGCATACCCATCGAATAAATTTCCGAAGCGTTTATAAATAATATATCGTTGAAAACAATGGCAACTGCGAAAACAATGGTTTCGTAGGAACAAGTTACCTCGGGTAAGGCCAGAACTTGGCAGCAGCACTGTGCGAAGGTACTTTGTGAGGACACTTGAAGCCGACTATTTCCTCCGGATTGCAGTAGGGCAACAGTTGATCGGGCCAGACGCAAGTGTGACTCTTCTCGTCGTATACTAATCCTGCGTCGCAGTGCGCTTCCTCGGGATGTCCGTGGACGCATTTGATGTAAGTGGTGCTGCACAGGTCGCTGGCAGGATAGAGACCGAATTGATATTCGCAGCCGGGGCTACTGAGCGGAGTGACTGAAAACGACCCACAGATTTTTACATTTCGAACTTTCACGATGTTTATTAAACGACGTATCTGTGATTCTTCGGGCTCCGGTTGTGTTTCTTGGTAACGCGATGCGTCTTGTTCTAACGTTTCAAGTCTGCCTTCAAGCAGACTGGAATGTTCAGGAAACGACGGAACAACGCGCAATGAAAACTACCAGGAACACGGTCGAAATCGGTCGAAAGAGGTCGAACACGGACCTCTTATTCTTCTTTTTTTAATAAGCAGAGAGACATTTGTGCGAATTCGTATTTTCAGGAATACAATTTAAAAGATAAGACCTGAACTGAAATTTCTTTCATCTACGAGATATCGCAACGGATGTTACACCTTGCATATTTCGTTGTATTCTTTGTATTTGCGTTGTCTGTCCACTTTTGAACCTTCAAATTTCCCATAAATTCGCGAAAGTCCGCAGTGTGGTCGTAAGCATCGTTCGTATTCTTCGACGTAACGTATTTCGACACGCTGTATCTTTCTAACACTTGAAACGTTTCGTCGTTGATACGTCGTGATTCCTTGCTTCAGTTTTATCTTACTTTTTAATTAGTGCTGCTTTAATACGCCAAGAGGATAGACATATCAGAGCAAGGCTGTGAAAATATGAAAATTCAAGGATCGCAACAGGATTAACGTTACGACTTAACGACGTGCTATAAACAAGGTGTTAATAAATCCAGATAGAAAGACAGAACCTTCACGCGTAGCTCGTATATGCGTGTCGTTACGACATCGTCGCAATTGTTGAGAACGTAACGAGATACTTACGGTCAGCCTTGCGTTCTCCGCAGTGGACGGCCCAGTGATAGTTGCAATGGTCGTGTACGGCGCCATGGCCATCGAAAAGTAATCCGTTCTCGCAGTACTCGAGGGTCAGGGTGCCGTTCGTACAGAGGAAGAATGCGTTGCAGTCCTCGGGGTGAGCGTACGCGTGGACGCCATGAGGGTTGGGACAGGGTGGCGCACCCAACAGGGTAGCTGCTTCAACTGTACATCGAAGTGAAAAAAATGTTATTTATCGATGGAAAAAATTATTATCATATTCGGAAAGACGAACGAAGTAAATCGATGAAGGAAAAAAGTCAAAGGTTTTCTCCGAAAAGTAACGTCAACATGTTCTATTATAACGAATGGCGACATTTAGAAAAACTAGAAAGATACAAATTTATGAGATAAGAAACAATCTAAAAAAGCAGATTTTAATAGCTAAAACGACTAATCGGAGCAATAAAGAAGAAGAAAAGGACGAGATAGGTCGTAAAACACCTGGAAACGATCGTATTGTTTTATGTTCTCTTGATTCGGTGGACTTGGGTCGTCGTCATTTGCAATTCGAAATTTAGTCGAAATCTTACGAATCGAAGCAACTAAAATCTTATGCTATTTTAGACAAAGTTGCCGTCTTCTTTGTAGTTTCTTTACAAGTTCCGCTTCGTCTCATTTTGAGTAGAAAAATTGTCCGTGTCCGATCTAACAAACTCGGATATTAGAATAGGAGGAGGATAGAGGAAAGAAATGCACGCGTTACCTTGAAAGAATATATAAAGAACATTTACTACTACTAAGATGCTCGTTCTGAACGAACAAAACGATAGAGAAAGCGAGTCAAGGTTACAGACGGTGAATCTTGAATAGACAATCAAGCGAAAAGAATAAGTACGACAAAACGCGATAGCGAAAAAAAAGAGGCTAGTTGCTGGTCGAGTAACAAAGCGTGTCGCGAAACAAAAATATTCGTGCATCGGCGAATGGAAAGTCGGCGCTTCTTTGTACGAAGAAACAATCAGGAAGAACACTGCGAGAAAACCGCAAACTACAGGTAGTCGAGGCTAATTGCTGGCAAAAAGATTTCTAGTAACCGGCGACGTTCACGATAGAAAGGAGACGGGCTAAGAACGAGAAGGCTGAAGGCAAAGAACAAACCAGCTCGAGGTAGAAAGAGAAACCCGCATATTTTAGCGATATTAATCACGCGAGTACGAGTTGTTCGTTATCGAGAGAAATAGAAAGTAGCATCGATCATCGATAAGATGCCGAAAAAAAGCACGACGAACGATGCCAATCCGATGAGAACTTAACGAACATCCGAGTCTTAAATATCAGCGGATATTCGAGCCGAAACCATCTGTAAGAAGAGTACCATCTACGATCGTAAATTACCAAAGCGTGGTTCTTCGATTGAATCGAGAAACTCTTTGAAATTCCCTCGCGCGGTAAAACAAATATACCGGCTACGTAATACGTTCGTTGTGTCTGTGATATGGAAGAAAGACAAAGAGAAAAGCACGTCGACAGAAAAGACACGGAGGAATACGGAAGAACGCGATGTAGAAAGAGGCGACGTGCCATCCGAATGGCGCGTGCATGAATAATGCAGCTCGGGTTAGATCGTGGTCGACGATATGGCGAATACGTTTCGGAATAATAGAGAGGAAGGCGTGCAAACCCGCTAGACAGACTCCGCCATTATATCATAGGTCACGTCGACGTAACCATATGGCGAGAGGAGGCGGTCGCCGAGACAACGGTGAAAGCTATTGAAATTGTATGACACGAGTGTCGTAACTCGGGGAACGACCGAGATCAGACGCGAATACGCCTGCTGGGATGCAACCCGAACGGTCGATGCGCTTCTCTAGACGCATCGTTGGTCGCCGATGATCCGCAGGTCGAGAAGGAGAAGGAGAAGAAGGAGAAGGAGGAGACTTCGCCGTGAGGAATCTTAGCAGAGGTGTTCGATTTGACCGACGATGGTGAAAAAGAAAAACTTACCGGAGGCGAGAAAAATCACCACGGCCAAAAAGGTCACGCTCCTCCGGTGTTCGATCGTCATAGTGGTCGCTCGGTCTGATCCTCCACTCGGGTCGACTCTGACTACTGACACTTAGTTATCGACCTCGGAACAGAGAGCTTCTCCCTTCACTTGCTTGGTACACTTGCTCTCTCGTTACCCCACCCTACCGATCGTTCTCCGCGTCGATTTCTTCGAGCGATCGTGCGACTTCGGTGAACCGAGCCGAGCGTAGCCGAGCGGACAAGCGGCCGATCGAACGTCTCATCCGAAAATCCAAAGGGAATTTGCAAGAAGCGAAGCGAGAAACGTGAGAAAATGCGGTCTCAAAGAGGTTGGACTTTCGTGAGATTTTCCGTAACGCATTCACTGCCATATGACTGTGAATTTTCTATATTTTGTCTTGGCAGCCGCGATAGATCGAAATGTACCATAAGATTTAATTTTTCCGAAGTATTATGTCCTATTTCCACACTTTTTCTCTGATATTGTGAAGCAAATCATTCACGTTGGCGAACATCTTTTAGTCCATAAAATTGATCTTATTTTAACCGTCCTAGACAATTTAGCGACGCGAATCAACGGTAACCATCGTGACAATTAGCGCGTATTCTTCATAATGCGCAGAACTTTTTCCAATTTTTCGTCGACACTGAGCGTATGTAAGAGTAACCGCCAATTGCGTATTACGTTAATATCGTAGGTGCAGCGGAGAAAATAATTTGTAGAAACGATTGCGCAACGTAGAAGAAGAACCGGGTTTCGCGTTGCTGGACTGACATTTTGGAAAACAAAAAACCTCGGTCTAGCATCTTGATTACATGGAAAACGGCTACTTATCTGATATTTTATAACGCGGTTAAGCGTTTCCTCCTCGTTAACATTTCCATCAACTTTCGTGTTTACGACGATGCAAATTTATGTACATAAGTACACATAAGTGTACACGTGCTATACACACGTGAGCTGTAATTATATTAGACAATTACTACGTTCGTAATTATTTAGGTAATCATTGTTACAGTTATGAATGAAACAATCACACAGAATGATACGCGTACAATGGTCGAAGATAATCATTTTCGAGTAGTCGAAAAGTTAATAAAACGACCATCTTTATTACACCGTGTGTGTATTTTATGTACGTAACGTATCAAATCATTTTCATGCTGTGATTGGAAAATATGTATAAATTTCACGCGAGTCTGAACTTGTTAAGGAATTAATGTCAAACTCTACCCCTTGCAGCTATCTCGATTCTTGTAATGTGTCACAGCAGTTGCAAGGAAACAGTTAACTAATTAACGATAATTAAAAATAATCTTGGAAAGAAGAAGAAGTTTCGTCGTGTTTTTCTATGGCAGAAGATAATAACACGGAAATATAGAAAAACATATTTTTACATCAAATAAAATTTTAGTTCCCTGCGAGTTATTTGCCAATATCACTGACATCTGTCTTTAGAAAACTACGTAGAAGCGTAATGAGCTACGTAGCTAATTTTACAGATAATTTATACGTATTTTCAAAACGAGTTCTTAAAGAGAAACAACAACAGCCAAGTAGCCAACGCGTTAAATTAAACTCTTCTACTGCGCGTTAAATTAAAATCACGTGTAAAGTAGAATCGTAGAGTTAGAAATCCTTTCCACCTAACTACTTTTTAACTACTTGACTACCTGCCTACGACGCATATTCCCTGATGAGATTCGCTCGATCTCCCAATGTATATGTATACATACCATGCTCATCAACCATTCGTTTGTACAACGTTGAATCGCATTAGCGTCGACGAGGTTAAAAATGAGAGTACGCGATATACACGTATGACCGTACAAATACATTTCCTGGATGTATGTATGAAGTACGGTTAGCCCCTGGAGGCTTTAACTGGCCTTACGCAACAGTCATCGCTACTTGGAGCAATGGCTCCTGAAGGGAGAACCAGATCTCCCGGCATGGACAGTGAAAGCCGACGAATGCCGATCGCGATCTCGCTACTTATGATCTGCATTGTCGGTGAACCAGTCGGATCAACGAAACGAATACGTCACGGTCATGCCTCTGATCGATGGCTAATTGAGTTCTTTCGATCTTCTATCTGGCAAATAGCTGACTATAAAAAATCGAATATCTAAGAGAAAGAAAAGCAAATGTAAAATAGGAACTACGAATGACGAAACGTTTGATAAAACTTTCGTAGAAAACAATTTTCTACGATATTGTGCAATTTATTTTTCGACGAAGCAATTTTTTAACGAGTTCTGCATTCCATTTTCTGATATCAGATTTTTGTAGTCGTATGTACTGATTAATTAGTACGTAAATGCTACAACAAATACAACAACGTGTCACGATACTTCTCGTGGTCGCTGTACATCGCTAACGTGCAAGATATTTTGAAAGGATTTTCCAAAATGTCGGATACGAAGCACGAACTTTCACAAATTTTCAGTAGCGAGATAGACCCGGCAGAAATGTAAATCGGCCAACGGGGTCGCGAGAAGTGCGTTTCATCGAGCACATCGTAAATTACGTAAAGAGAAAGGTTGCAATCAGGTGAATTAAGTGAAATTGTCTGCCAGCCTTTACCATAACGCGTCGCTCATTGTATTCAAACAAGATCAATTTTCAGCGATTCAAAGCAACAGCTGTAATTGTTTCTTATTCGATGCTCTTTTCTATATAATCAACACCTAGAGAAACTCGGTAGAAGACTTTTAATATCTGGTAATTCCATAGTTTCTTGCTCTTTATGACACGAGAGTAGGCAAATTTCTAGATAAAATTATTACCCGAATGAAATTATTTGCAACGACTAAACAAAAATATCGCGACCAATTCGTTCTCTTCTGCCAATCAACCAAATGCAAAATAACGCGCGTGCTACGTTTTCTTTCTTCGCTTATATCGCGAATTCCTTCTTACAGTTATTAACTCGCGGTTATTGATCTTTCTATTAGAACAAACCGTAACAAAGTTGTCGGCACTATAAATTTCCGGAGCGTAATATCCGTTTACATAAGGAGAAAGGTATAATTATCGTGGGAGGTGTATGCAAAGGCTACTCATTTACGTAAGTGTATCACGGGTTTATTGTTCCTAAGTGTAAAAAATTAAGCGTTACAGACGTGATCGCTGAGTAACTGGCACCTTGTCTTTATTCAGTTCTTGTTTTTGTAGTAGTCTTCGCTGTAACAAGAAGAGACAACAGAGATAAGAATTTCGTTGCGTCTAAAGTGCACAAAATTATGTCACCTCTCCGATAAACACCATATACTACCTACGCTACTATATTAATTTTCAAATTTGTTTTCACTGTCCTGTTGCTCGTTGCTATCGCGATATCGTTTCTTACTTTCGCCATCTTTCTTTATACGACGCGCTTTCGAAGATCGATAACGATGTACAATCCGGTCAAAGTTTCTCGTTAAGATCGGACTGAACCTTACCATCCAGGCACGCTCTCCGGATCCATACACTTGAAGCTGTCCTCGCTGTAAACGGTACCAGGCTCGCATTGTCCTTTCTGCGGCACCACGCCATTTTTGCAAATGTAGAACTTGGCACAATCCTCCGGATGAGGATAGGTAGGATGGGGTAGAATTCTGCCGAGTGGTCCGGGCACATCGCCATCGGGACAAACGAATCCATCGTCGAGAACGTCTCTCTTCACGTTCTCGCACAATCTACTGGCATCTGCTGGCCAAACACAGCTGGACATTTTGTCTTCGTAGATCAGACCAGGCGGACAGGGCATTGTTTGCGCCACGCCATCGATGCAATTCACGAAACGATCGCAAGCGGTTGGATCCTCGTGTTTGAAGTAGCCATTAGCTCGTGGACATCCTTTGCTCGGCTGTGGTTCCTCTGAATAATTAAGCATCGAAAGTTAATATTAAAATAGAATTACTAGGCTAAAGTAACGGGCTACGTTAAAGTTTTAATATTATTCGTTATACATAACGTAGAAACGATATTAATTAACGCAAGGTTATACGCGAAGCGAGAAAGAAATGTCCTTTCACTAGGATTCCACTCGATCCACGGGAATTGGAAAGATTAGCATACGAGTTAAGATTTCGATTCGAGCGATAAAAGAACGCTTGCGGGAGGAAAAAAAAAAGAAAGACAAAGGCCAAGGAGGATTAAAAGCACGTCTGAAGACGAATTTAGCCAAGGATTTACGGAGAAACCGGTTCGTCCTAATTTATCGCGTCTTTCGCAACTTCGCCACGCATTCTAATCGTCGCGTCGTTCTTTTAGCGCGCGTTCGAATTCGCGCATTCGAAATCGAGCTGCGTTCATCGGGAAAAAACCTGATTTGCATTTTTAGATCGGGCGATTGGATGTTCGATATGGGACATCGATACAAATTTCTGCCGCATCGACAATTCGAATCACGTTGCTGTTCGGAATTTCATGAAAATAGAAGATAGTGTGACCGGAATATTCTGGTGCGCGCAATCAGACATGTAACTTTCACCTTTGGTTTCTCATAAATTCGCTTCTCGAAGTTCTCGGTATCGTGCGATCTTTACGCGATTGCACTTCGCCGATCGATTCGCTCGCTCGTAGATTAGATTTAGCTTACAATCGTGATACTACTTTTAAATTGATTCTTACTTCGTCACGATGTCTATCGTAAATCATTCAAAGAATGTTTCAATAGCTTTTACGTGAAAATTTCTTGAAAGAAAGATCGTTTATACGTAAAACTCCTAAAAACTACATAGTTCGTCGTTTGAAAATACATGCGCTTTAAGATCCGTTCGAGATTAAAAATAAGAGAATTCTCCGTACTCGTTTTTCATTATGATACCCCAATGCTGAAACATTTAAATTCATATTTCTCTGATCGAAACAGTAGTCAGAACGTTCATGTCGAATAACAAACGTAAAACTCGATCTTACGATTCGAATATTTTGCGACAGACGCGCACCTAAGATCGTGTATCTTCCTACATGAAACAAAACTAACACCTCCTTTCGTTTAAGTCGTTTCTACCTCGTCTTCGATGTAAGCCACATCTGTCACCGATGGCTCGTATCGTCGTACGTTTTACACGCTCGTATCGTTTCCCGATACGTAAACGTAGAACCGAACCTAATGGCTGGTGCCATCGAGCGTTAATAACGTCTCGTTCGTCGATACAAACGATTAAGGAAAGCGTAACTTACGAAGGAGAGTCCTGTCACCGCAAGGCACGTTAGCTGGAATATCACAGAGTTCCTTCTTAGGGTTGTCGTCTCTGAAGACGAGACCGTCTTTGCACAGCTTCTCCTCCGCCTTGCCGTCTATGCAAGCGTAATAAAGATCGCACTGTTCCAGATCCGAGAAGAAACCCTTTGGCTCGGGACACCGAAACTGTGCTCTGCTCAAGGTCACCACACTGACCAACAAAAGGAAAAACACTCGAAGAAACATGGTCCTTTTTCAATTTTTTATTTTCTCTCTTTTTCCTCCGCCTCTAAACCCTTGATGAAAGCACAATGGCCCAAAACACGCTACTCCTCCGTTTCTCCTCCTCTTCTTCTTCTTCTTCTTCTTCTTCTTCTTCCTTCTCTTCCGATCCGTCGACAGCACGTAGCAACGTGGATATGACGTGAACGCAGACCTGAAACTGGTCCTGATTCGCCTGCCACACCACCTCTGCATCCTTGCTTGCATTTCACAACCCCCACCCCCCTTTCGCCGAAACTTCTTTCTCGCTTGCTCGCTCTGCTATCGCCGCTTTTCTTCCACGGGACTGCCGATACTGTCTCACCGCCTAAACCTTCGCTGCGCCCGTTTCGCTTTCTGTTTCCCGCGTTTCTTCTTATTTCTCCATCGGCTACGGACGCGTATCACCGACACCAATATCCCTGCCACTTCCGGGTAACGCGCAATCTCACCCTACTCCTCTCTGTGCGGGTACGCGAATAGGCGATCTGGTCACAGCTTATCATCGATCAACGCAGCGATTCAATCGCGTTGCTTCTGGCTCGAGATAATTTACTGGCAGAACAAAGGGGCAGATTGATCGCTGGAGGCTGTCTTATCGCTACTGCTACTGCAGGAAGGAAACGTTCGTGGCACGGAAGTAATTCGTTTACTTGGCGAGAAGTAGAATTCGTTTTGTTGCACGTAGATCGAGGATTTTTGACGCGTTTGTGGAAGGTTCGATGAGGCGAAGATTTGCAGAGTGCGCGTACTATGAAAATACACGTAACGCGTGCAGAGTAGAGCACGCGTTATAGCAATTAAGTAACTGGCGATACATGTGTTCGTGTAGGTTTCGTTTTTTCCACTTAAGTTCGTAATTACGCCTTTCGTACGTTGTTGTCGATTGATCGTCGAATTCCATAGAAAGTTAATAACATCCGACACGTTGGTATTAATCTGTGCCATAACGTTTCGTGCTCTGACAATTTTTCCTCCGTAAGTTTTCTCGATGGTTGAGTTGAAAGCCGCTGAAACAGAGAATTGGAAATATCCGATGTTGGGCGTTGACAGTGCTAAATTTAGATCCAATAGATCGCTGAGAGTTGCCGCAAGTACGGCTCTTGATAGATGTTAATCTAACGTTGACGATGCAAATTTGTCTAATGTTAACGGGAAAACGAGAGATACGCGTAGACTTGAAGAATAGAGAAGGTCAACGACTCGAGGATGACCAATGTCACAAGCAGAGTAAATATCGGTATAACGTTCGTTTTGTTTCGTTTCGTTTCGTTTCGACTTTCAACGCTATTCGTTCGTTGCCATCTCTTTCAACGCGTTCGCAAGTGAAGCAATAAACGAAGAACGACCGTGTTATTTTATCGATCGACAACAGTTCGTACGATTTCACGCGCGTTTGTGAAATTATAATTGCGCAACGCTTTGAAAGGGTCCGTGAATGTTAATATCGTTACTTCTGCGCACACGTTCTCTTCCGGATGCTTTGAATACGCGTGGCGCCCGATATTCTCGCTCTGTTTATGCTCTTCGTCAACATGATCCACGTTCCTTTAATTTCCTCGTGATTTCTCTTTCGCCACTATTTTACGAATCTTTAAACGTTTCACCGACACCCGGCGACAGGACTTCTCGCGATATTTTACGGATTATCTTTATACGTTTCGCTGATAAGATAAGAGGATCGATGGTTCTTTGCGCAAACGACTCGATACGCGGGCTTTTACGATGAAAAAATCACGCGTCGAAACGTTAGAACTCGGACGTGAGAGTGAAACATACTCGCGATTGTGAAACGAGAAGAGGAGATCGCGAACCTTCGGTGATTTGAATAAAAATACGATTTCGCTTTCTTCTTTCGTCAAACGATCGTTTTTTTTAACGATATCCTGTGGCCAATGACCGCGAAAGCAGAACAATTTAGATTCGCGCTGTAAAGTCAAACGTATCACGTCGCCTCGTCATTCGTTACTCGTTCGTGATTTATTACGGATATGCGAAAGCGCGAAAATGATAAGAACAAATATTACGAACAAAGGAAACATGGACTATTTTATGATACCTTTACAACAAGATATTATGTTAGTTGCGATTGTTAAGAGGGAAAAGTTTTGATAGAGCGTGATATACGAAATACTTGGAAAAACTGTAAAAATTTTGTTCAAAAAGTGAGGTTAGTAATCAAAATATCACGCAACATAGAAAAATGAATAGAAGTATAATTAATACTAGTAAGTAAGGTAAAGATTAAAGTTGAAATATATGTTCTTTCTTAAAACGTTTGAATTGATTGCGCGTGATGCAATCATTGACTAAAACGTTGGTGATACAACGCATTTGCATTTACACGCCATCTTGTAGCTGGTATTTCAATTTCGTCGATATTACAGTTCCTCGACTGGTTATATTGTTTACATCATGTCCCAAAGCACCGACGCATGCAAGTATTCTTTATGATCTATTAAAAAAGAAGGAATAAATATCATAAATATATAATGGAAGTTCTTGAATTAAAAGACATAAAAGCTGTACCTGATATTATTCATCTTTATCCAGATACAGTAAAATGCGAAGCAACTCCGCTTGTAATTGATAATGGTAAGTTAAATACATTGTTTGATTATATCATATAAATATATAATTACAAGTACAGATATAATATAAAGTAAATGGAATAAAAAATTGCGAATGATTTCTTATAGGATCGTACAATTGTAGAGTTGGTTGGGCTACTGAAAAAGAATGCCAATTAATATTTAAAAATCTTATTGCAAAACCACGCAAGGAACGTGGAAAAAAGGACGGTGAACCTCAGGTTGGAAATGACATAGCTAATATCGAAGCTGTTCGATTTCAATTAAAAACACAGTTTGATCGAAACGTGGTAACGCATTTTGAAGCACAGGAACAAATATTTGATTACACGTTTACTCATATGGGAATAGATACAGAGGGTGCGGTAAATCATCCTATTATTTTAACAGAAGCGTTTCTGAATCCTAATTATTCCAGAAACTGTAAGTACATAAGCGTACAAACAAATTTGAGGTTACTTTAAGATTTATGTCGAAGGTAATGGCTGTATTCGTTTTAGTGATGGCTGAACTTTTATTCGAATGTTACAACGTACCTGCGATAGCATATGGAGTGGATTGCTTATTTTCTTATCAGCATAATAATTGTCCACCGGATGGTTTAATAATCAGTATTGGATATCACACTACGCACATAATACCTATATTAGATGGTAAGGCAGATCCTGTAAACTCAAGAAGGATCAATGTTGGTGGATATCACATTACGTCCTACATGCACAGGTTGCTTCAACTTAAATATCCAGTACACGTAAATGCAATTACACCTAGTCGAGCAGAGGTATATGGATGATTTATCGCATACACCAGCTATGACGATTTAAAGAACGTATAATTCCATTTTCTCTATATAGGAATTAATACATGAACATTCGATGATAGCTTTAAGTTATCAAGATGAAATTTCTAAATGGGCGGATCCAGATCATTACGATACAAATGTATTAAGAGTTCAATTACCCTATGTTGCTCCTGCAAATACTCCTGGTCTAACAGTCGAGCAGCAGAAGGAAAGGAAACGCGAATTAGCTAGAAGATTAATGGAAATCAACGCCAGAAAAAGAGAAGAGAGAGTTAGTAATTTTCTATAAATCTATTTCCATAAATTTATTTAGATACGAACGATCGAAACATAATCGTTATTTGTAGTTAGCAGAAGACGAAGAACAACTAAATCAATTATTAGCCGTTCAAGATTTATTAGAAGAAGGTGAAACGGATGAATTTGATCAAGCGTTAAAAACTTATTCTCTCGCAAATGAGGCAGATCTGATAAAAATGATTAATAATCTGCAAGCAAAAGTAGAAAGAACCAGACAAAAGATAGTAGCGGCTAACTCGCAAGAGGAGAATATCGCGATGGAAGAACAAAAACCAAAAATAAAATCGAGTTTGCAACCTAAAGATCAACAAGATTTTGACGAATGGATCGCTGGTGTTCGAAAGAAAAGGTAACCAATGATTTCTTCGTTGTTTTTATAACGATGTTACGATATATTTTTCTTTACACTATAGGCAAGAAATATTAGAAAGACGACTGGCAAAAAGACAACGTAGACAAGATATGGCGAAACGTAGAACAGCTGCTGCACAGGAAAGAATGCGCATAATAAGCCAATTGGCGAGAAAAGAAAAACGCGATGATGATTTTGGTATGAGAGACGAAGATTGGGATGTTTATAAAGTTATAAATAGGGTTTGTGTAAATTTTAATTTATTGTCATTTCGCGCTGAAATTTATAACGTTAAAGTTGTACCGTGTTTCTAATTTGTCTTTCACAGGAAGGTGGAGATTCAGACTCGGAGGTAGAACAAGAAAAGCTTATGGAATTGGAAGATGTACTACGACATCACGATCCAGAATTCGATGGTGCTGGATCTAACGTTCCTATGATTCCTGGAGAAACTCATCAATTACACGTGGGGGTAGAACGCTTGAGAGCTCCGGAAGTATTATTTCAACCATCGATGATTGGTTCAATGGAAGCTGGCATTGCAGAGACAATCGATTTCGTTTTGAAGCTTTATCCGCCCGAGCAGCAGACGCGACTCGTGGGAAATATATTTCTCACGGGTGGACCGACAAGATTTCCTGGCTTACTCGAAAGATTGAATCGTGAACTTCGTGAAATACGACCATTTGGATCGAGTTTTCGAATAAATATTGCAAAAAATACCAGTCTAGATGCATGGTATGGCGCCAGGGATTTTGGCTTGAATGGAAACCTTCCTGAATTCTTAGTGAGTAAGAAGGAATACGAGGAAAGAGGTGGTGAATATTTTAAAGAACACTTGAGCAGTAATACTTACACCCGTTCTCCTGATCCTTTACCTACGATACAGACACCTGTGACATCGGAACAGGTTATCGTAGAGGATGCTGTCGTCGACGTTGAAATGGAGTAAAAGTATAATAAAACTAAAGCGAATAGAAAATACAGATGATATTTTTTTATGGATATCTACTTTATTACACAAGTGTTTCCGTTTGTTCATTCAATCACGAACAAACTACATTGTAGTCTGTTTGCTGATCACAATGTACAGTTCCCAATCATCGCCATTTTACCATTCAAAGATAATTATGCGAGTACATTCTGGTTTTTCTTTTTTTATTCATCGAGAATAATCGACATCCGCTTGTTTATCGGCGCTTGTCGAATAAGCTAAAAAACTGAGAAAGTGATACCTCACCCCAGCAAGAGGATTTACTACAGCGACCTCGAAAAATCTCTCCTACGTTTCTGTCCATGGCTTAAGTTAACATCACAATACAGTTAATATAATGTATACATATACATACATACATACATATACATATATATATATATATATATATATGTATATATATATATATGTATATATATATATATATATATATATATATATATATATATATATATATATATATATATATATATATATATATATATATATATATATATATATATATATATATATATATATATATATATATATATATATATATATATATATATATATATATATATATATATATATATATATATATATATATATATATATATATATATATATATATATATATATATATATATATATATATATATATATATATATATATATATATATATATATATATATATATATATATATATATATATATATATATATATATATATATATATATATATATATATATATATATATATATATATATATATATATATATATATATATATATATATATATATATATATATATATATATATATATATA